TGTTCTTAATGGAGAGAGGTTAAAGGCATTCCCTTTAAGAACAGGAACTAGGCAAGGATGCCCACTATCACCTCTTTTATTCAATATTGTTTTGGAAATCTTAGCAATAGCAATAAGACAAGAGAAGGGAATAAAAGGTATCCAAACAGGCAACGAGGAGGTAAAATTATCCCTCTATGCTAATGACATGATAGTATTCTTAGAAAACCCTGAAGACTCAGCAAGAAAACTATTGGACGTAGTCGCTTTGTTTTGATAAGCATCTCTTTGACCTTAGCAGAACCTGACTTAAATCCGCTATGTTCTCAGCAGTACCTGGCAGCCCTTTGGCTGATGATATGGCTAAGATACATCCTTTCCCAACAAAAGCAGAGACTAACAGTGAAGGAGACAGAATTCAATGGACTGAGACTCGGCTGGATAGCCCAGAATACCAAATACTTGTCAAAGGCCACAGAACGTAGATAGACTCAGTATTCATTTTCTAAGGTTAATGAGTAGCTGAAGAAACCTTAGATTTATTATCTTACAGTTCTGGAAGCTAGCCTGCTACATTTGTGGTGTCAGCAGGGCCACTATCTTTTTGATCGTTCTGTGGGGATACGGTTAAGTCTGTACACTGTTCACCCAGTACTGTTCCTTTATTCTTCTAAGGATGTCGTATAACCTTAGTTTTCAGGGGTATCTAAGCTTAGATCACTGAACTATAGATGACACCACCATTTCTTGGACCAATCTAGACAACAGAATTCCTTATTTTATTCATCTCATCAGATGCATTCAGATATACAACTCACACACAAAATGTGCTAACAAACTCATTGCCCACAAATTAGAATAGACTCCTAGCTGATCCTCCAGTGAGTTTTCAGAGGCTGTAAATAAAACAGGAGGAGATTATCTGTTTTCCTCCTGTGGAGCTGCTGGTATATTTGAGCCACCTACCTTTGAGTTGGTGATTTAACTCCTTACCCACTAGATCACCAGAGCTCCCTTTAGATCAAGAGCAGACCTTTAAATCAAAGCCAAGCCAATCACTGTCTGTTTCTAGATTCTAAATATCTTGAAAGGTCTTCAGGAGTGAGAGTCAGGGGGAGACTGAAACTTCTTCCTCAAAGGCCCTGGTGAGATGCAATTGATGGATAATAAGGGGTTTTCAGAAGAAGAGAACGAGGTCACAGGAGCGTGCCACCCTGAGCAGTGTTCAGGGCTTCACTGATGTACCAGGTCACCCTGTGTCATGGCTTTTCCAACCCCACCCTCTGGAATCCTCATTTCCAGCCTCCCTCCTTTCCTTCTTGCCTTGGGTGCTCTTCTTCCAGTCTGTGGAGTCATTATCAGATGCTTGGAGCTGGATGACTCTGTGCTCATTGCTGTTGTGGCCGCAGTGGGAGATGGACGCTGACATCCTCGGCCAGCGTTCTCAGAAGCTCTTTGGCTCAAGTCTGCAGCACAGATAACATAGGACTCTTCTAAGAAGACATCGTACATAAAATTTTCTTTTTCTAGAGTGACCCAAGACTTTAGACATGAAAAATATCTCTGCAGAAAAATGAATACAAAAGAACTGGTATGAAATGGAACCTTTTGATATCTTGGAGATCAGAGAATGGAGAAGTGAGCATATTATAAGCAGAGAAGAAATCCTTGAAGAAAAAAGACTTGCGGGTGTGCTGGAAGATGGATGAGGGTTTAATTGACACTAGCAACTCAACAGCACCTAAGAAAAACAAGAAGGGTTGAGAAAAAGCTTTCTGGGATTTGAGGGGGAAGTGGGCACTTTTCCAGGGGAGGAACCTGAATGAGAACTCAGGGGTATATAGGAAGCTGTGAATGTTTATTTCTGGATCTTGTTGCGTTTTTAGAAAAGAGTTAATGTAACAGGTTACTTACAAGGTTAGTTTGACTGTCAATTGAGAATTTGGGTTTTGGGATTGTTCCCATCACTCCCTGATAAGAATGGCTCCTGTGCCTATTGTAAATGATACTGTGTTTGACACTTAGCTTTTTTCTGGGATTTTGATGAGTCCCCATTAAAAATCCTGGTTGCTGAGCATGTTATATGTTGTCATAATTTGTTGCCAGAGAATTAAGTTTGTCCTGTGTGACTCAACTGGGTAAAAACTCTTGGAAGATTGTTTCTGGGTTCTCTCTGACTTCCCTTCAGTACTTTTTTTGGTCTCTTTTATTTTGTATCCATTCACTGTGATTAATCTTAGTTGTGAGTACAGCTATGTGATGAATCCTGGAAGTTCTCCTAAATGAATCTTCACATCAGAGTGGATTTGATGACTTTGACACCTAGGTTGTGTTGGTGAATATTGTTGTAATATATGAGATATGAAACAATAATCTTACATGTAACCATTTAAAGGTATGTACATATACTATTCTAATACTTTTTCATAAACTAATATTTATGATGAGAAAAATGTGCTTTGCAAAAAAAAAATGTGAGTAAATCAGGTGTTAATTTCACACTGTGTTAAACCTGTCATAATTAAGCTGCCTTTAGTGAGAATATTGTTTTTTCTTGAATTATAGAAGTTCAGGCGGCGTGTTCAAGAATCCACACAAGTGCTAAGAGAACTGGAAATTTCTTTAAGAACAAACCACATTGGGTAAGTGTGCCCCATCTAGGCTTTTTGAAACCTCATAAAGGGAATTAATTATACTGGAAGAATTAAATTTCTTTATCAGTTGTTGTAAGTTTAAACAGAGGCTTAGATGGTAGGATGCTTTTAGAAAGTGTTGTAGGGTTTGTCATACAAAAATCAATAGAATCATGACAGATGGTTCTTGATTTGAGTGCAAACTATGTGAACAGCCCATGATGACTGCTTGGTCTCACATGAAAACATGGCTCTCCAGCAAGTGGAGTGTGAGATCCTGATAAATCCTAGGCTTTCCCTGTTGCTCTCCATGCTGGCTTGCTGAGGGTACTTTTCCTTGGAGTTAGAGGCCACTGGTTAGGTATACTATGAGTAACTAGAAGGTTGACAGTTTGAACCTACCAGGTATACTGCTGAAGAAAAGAGCTAGCTAGGTATGTCCCTGTAAAGATTGTATACCCAGTGCCATCAAGTTAAATTATTTCTGACTCTTAGGGACCCGTTCAGGCCATAGAACTGCTTTGTAGCATTTCTAAGGGTGGACATCTTTACAGAAGCAGATTCTCACGTCTTTCTTCCACAGAACACCCAGTGAACTGGAACAGTATTCTTTTTGATTGGCAACTAAGCACTTGACTCATGCACCACCAGGGCTCGCATTAGTGTAACTCGACAACACACAACAACAACTCTGGACAAAAGACGGTAGATGCTGGTTCCCTGATATTTTGACCCCATCATCACAATTCTACTCCCTTCTTAGTTTCTGTAATCAGACACCTCAAGAATTTAGGACCAAAGTGTAAAAAAAGCCAGTTAGGGTACACACAGTTGGACAATCAATACGTTAAGGGTTCTGAGAATTACGCACATACAATAACATGATTGATTTACCTCCAGTAAGTAACAACTTTACCAGGTTCATTCTTAACACTGGGGTGGCATAATTGTACAGTACTTTAAAGTAAGATAGTTTGTCTCCAAGGTGATGTTGGATGAATACTAACCAAATGTCAGGTGCTGCTGGTATTGATGGTAATTACTGTATATCCCTACTTATGGAGATCCTGTATATACAGAGCTGCTTATAGAGCCTTCAAGGCTGTAAACTTTCACAAGCAGATTGCCAGACCTGTTTTTCTGGGCACTTCTGAGTGGATTTGAACTATTAACTTTTTGGCTTTTTGGTTAGTAAGTAGTCTAAGTCTTAACCGTTTGCATCATCCAGATACTCCATATATATATATATATATATATGAGGTACTCACCCAATTTGACAGGAAGCTCTGGTGGCCTAGTGGCAAGAAGCTACGTGTCGCAATCCTGAAGGCACATGGTTTGAGGCCACCAACTGCTCTGGAGGAGAAGGATGAGCAGGCTCCTCCTGGGTGATTTACTGCCTCTGAAAACCTGCTGGAGGGTCAGCTATGGTTTGGTTCTGACTCTGTGGTACACAACAACTTCAATGGCAGCAACTCTATTTGGCAACTTTTTCCTTTTCATGTTTTTTAAATTGTGATTTGAGTGAAAGACTACAAAGTTTGTTGGTTTTTCCTTTAATCATTTAGAAACATTTTATTTTAGAACATTAATTGCAATGTCTACAGCATCTGATTTTCCCTTTATTACATATTACTTCTCCCTTGCCCATCTTAAAAAGTATTTATTTATGAAGCTTTACTCCTTCCTCCCTCTAGTCCCATCCTTGGGAGCCAAGAATGATTCTGTGTGTAAAGTTTTCTTTAGAGTTTTAAAACAGTACTTGTCCCTTTTTGTGGGACTAATTTATTTCACTCAAGTTGATGCCTTCTGTCTTCATCTGTGTTATGCAGTGTTTCATGAATTCTTTGTTGTTCTTGAGTGTTGCATAGTACTCCCATGGGTGAGTCCACCATACTTTCTTTAACCATTCGTCTGTTGATGAACATTTAGGGTGTTTCCATCCCTTTGCTGTTGTGAATAATGCTTCAAGAAACATGGCTGTGCATGTATTAGTTCATGTTGCTGTTCTTATTACTTTAAGGTACATACCTAGTAGTGGGACTGCCAGATCAAATAGTATTTCCCATTTCAAATTTTTAAAGTTATGCCAAACTTTTTGCACAGTTGTTGCACTATTTTACATTCCCACTAACATTGTATATGAAAATTACAGTTTCTCCACAATCTTGACAGAATGTGTTGTTTGCTCTCTTATTTAATGATTTTGCTGTTGTCGTACGTTGAAATGATAGCTCATTGTTGTTTTTATTAATTTTTTTTTAAATTGCAAAAAGGCACATGTCGTTTACTCATGCCAGAGCGTAAGAGCATTTTCTAAAGGACATCTCAGTGTGTTTGTTGAGAACTTATTTGAGGATGGCACAGGATGAGACAGGGCTCGGATCTGTTCATGGGGTAGTGATGAGTAGGACTCAACTTGACAGCACCTAAGAACCACCTTGTCCCAGAAAATGTGCTACAGAACACTAGTCATAGAGTCATAGAAGTAGGAGAGCATTTAAAGATTACCTAATTCCTTATCTCACAGATAAGCGTTAAGGGGCCCGGGAAGGTGAGTGACTTGCCTGCATAGTGTACAGCTGTAGAACCAGGTGCTTTGGCTCAAAAGGCACTGTTCCTTTTCCTGTAAAGCTTACCCTGGCAGCTTTTTTTTCCCCCCCATGAAAGGAAATAATTTAATCAGAACTCTGGGATCAAAGCAGCAAGGCTTGTCTGTTGGGGGTGAAGGTGGTGGTGATTTAATACAGTTGAACATCCAAACGTAAGAAATTCGAATGCATTTGTGCATCAGGACATAGATTCTATTTGATAGGGCGCAGTCCTATGCTAGTGGCACTTCTAGACTGAGACTCATGCAGAAAGTTGCAGCCAGGCTTTCTACAAATTGTCAGAAGGCATTTCTTTAAGCATTACTGAAATAATGTGAAATTGACCATCAAATACCAAGGCACAGCCATCATTTCCAACACAAAGTTGGCTGACTAGAAGAACCTTGGTTGAGTTTAAGCCAGTGCAGTCTGCAAGCAATTGAAGTTGTTTGTTGTTTATAATACTGTAGGCTTTCTTCTATTTCTTACATCTTCATAAGCTGCAGACTTCCATTACTCACCACCTGTATGAAGCACTCTGAAAGTTTTTACTTTAGCAGCGGAAGAATGTATGGAGATACAGTGACTGGCTGTGTACCAACAGTTACTCCTATACAGTTATGTGGAATGAAATTGTACAATAAAGGCTTGACCTATTGAGTCCATTTACCCAGCAGAAAATCCAAACTTAAATTAAGCTCTTCATCATGGAACCTTTTTTGCTTTAACCTCATTAAATGGAAATGTGAATTGGAAAATTTCACTAATGATGAAAATAGTAAATTATCACAATGAGAGATTGTTAGAATTCAGGGTGCTATGTAAATAAAATCTATAGGTTGTTGTTGTTGTTGTTATGTGCCATCGGGTCGCTTGCAACTCATAATGACCTTATGTACAACACCCTAAACCCTGCTCTATCTTGTGCCCATTGCACTGCCTCTGACACACCCATTCCGATTGCCCCAGTCACTGAATCAATCCACCTCATAGAGAGTCTTCCTCTCCTGCACTGTCCCTCCACCCTCTCAAGCATGATGTCCCTCTCCAAGGACCCTCCTTACAACATGTCCAAAGTATGCCACATGAAGCCTTAGAATCTTTGCCTCCAAGGAGCAGTCCAGTTTAACCCTCTCCAGGATGAATCTGTTTGTTTTCTTAGCAGTCCATGGTACACGCAATACTCTTCTTCAGCACCACAGCTCAAAGGCATTAATTCTCCTTCTATCTTCCATAGTCATTGTCCAACTCTCTGATGCATAACAAGTGATTGCAAAGACCATGGCCTGTATCAGGCACACCTTAGTCCCCAGAGAGACACCATTGCTCTTCAGAACTTTGGAAAGGTCCCTAACAGCATACTTTCCCACCACAATATGTCTTTTAATTTCCTGGCTGTTGGTGCCAAGAGTGTTGACTGTGGAGCCAAGCAAACTAAAACTGTGAACAATCTCAGTCTCCTCACTGTCCATCCTGATACTGCCAATTGGTCCAGTGGTGAGAATCTTTGTCTTCTCGACATTGAGCCTCAATCCATATTGAAGGCTGCAGTCCTTGACCCTCTGCAGCAAGTGCTTCAGGTCCTACTTAGTTTCAACAGGCAGGGTTGTGTCATTTGCATAACACAGATTGTTGATAGATCCTCCACCAATCCAGATGGCACACTTCTCATAGAGCCCAGCCTCTCGGATAATCTGTTCTGCATACAGGTTCTGCATACAACCTTCCCAATTTTGAACCATGCAGTATTTCCTTGCTCTGTTCTGACTACTGCCTCTTAGCCAAGTATAGGTTTCTCATTAGTATGATCAAGTGTCCTGGGATTCCCATTGCTCTCAGAGTCAGCCATAGTTTGTTATGATCCACACAGTCAAACACCTTTGCATAATCAATGAAACACAGATAGACATTCTTCTGGTATTTCCTGCTTTTAGATAAGATCCGTCTAACATTAGCTACAATATTCCTAGTACCACGACCTCTTCTAAACCCAGCCTGGACTTCTCGCAGTTCTCTGCTGATGTGCTCACGTTGTATTTTCTTAGGCTATCTATGGATTTTTTTACATAGCACTTTGCTGTGTAAACACATAGATATCATTTGACTAATAGAAAAAAAAACCAAAAAAACACCACCAAACAAAAACCTTGGTTCCATTTTTTTACATGACTTTTATTAGTTATCTCACTTCTTTGAGTTTACTATCCATTTGACTTTGCTGACTGATTCATATGTAAAACTGTACAAATTAAACGTGATAATTTGAATCTGACACACAGTAGTTACTTAGTAAATGAAAGCTATTGCTAATAATAACTGATAATTCTTCTGTATTATATAACGTGGTCTTAAAAATTCGTATGCAAAGAATCTTACCCTCTCTCCCTAAAATTTATGAGATTGTGCTTCCCAAAAAAT